TGCTATGGGGCTGTATGCAAGGGAATATAATATGTGGTCATCAAAAGTAGCTCCTAGTGAACCACGCGAGGGTAACAGATTGTCTCGGCTTTCAAAACTGATGGCAGCAGCAGTGTGCAGCTGTGTACATTTACAAGAAAAATATATCACTGCTGCTACCTGTACTATACAGCTTGGGCTCCTCTGAGTTAGTGACAGAAATGCAGTAGGTGTACTTGGTACACTGGGTGTGAGTTGGTTAGCTAGAAAAGGTGGGGATTAGGAGGGAAATTGCAAAGTGGGTGAGAAACTGATAGAGCCAGTGGTGGAGAGAAATCACCACAGTGGAGTTTTGTGAGGTTTGCTCTTCAAACTGATCTTACTTAATAAATTCAGTGACGACCTCACCACAAACAGAACTGTGTGAAGGAGGTTGTTGATGACACCCATTTAGGAGGTTCTGTCATTGTAGAGGAGGACCAGAGTAGCAATAGCATTTGATGGCCTTGAGGACTGAAGTGATAGAAAGGGATAAAAATGAGCAATACCAAGTGAAAAGCTATGTGCTTAAAAACCAATAAGAATTTCTCAAATATGCTGGGAGTTTATCAGAGGGAAGTGACATATTACAATTAACTTTGGGATATTAGTCAATGACAGGGTAAGTGGTGTGTATCCAGTGCAGTGTGACTGTGTAAAAGGCAGTATTGTATTTATGTGCTGTATTTATGCTGATAATTATCTTACTGGTGAGCACATTGGAGTATTAAATACTGGAGAGGGAAGGAACTAGTTAAAACTCCAGCGTTATGTTAGCTAAGGAAATGATGTTAACTGGGCATCGTTTAAATTAGACTGGGATTTAGGGGAAAGGTTCTGACCATCTAAAGATGTCAGCCTCTGAAGTCATACTTTCTGTCTTACTTATTTCCAGTGAACTTGACCAGTTTGTAGAGAGACTAGGTGATACTGTACAATAACAATCCTTAATGTCTAGACTGCATTCTTATTTTCTTCTGTATTGGCTTGTAACTCACGTAGGATAGTTTGTGACATGTAGCATCCTTGCCATATTGAGTACCTAAAATGAACTTCATGTGCTTAGTTTGGTGACGAGTTACTCCAAGTCTGTCTGTTACACATGTATCTGTCACTCCATGGTTTTTGTCCAGGCTGCTGACTCTCCATTTTGTCGTCTGCAATCTGCTTACTCCTCAGCTACAGTTTTCTCAAAATGAAAACATTGGGCTGAAAACATGCGATTTGCCTGACACAGTGTCACGGTCATGTCACATAGTGTGGCAATGACAGGTTGCTATTTGCATTGACTGGTGAGGCCACAGGCTCACTTGGTGACTGTAGTAATCATGTTCTGCTGCAACACAGACAGACAAATTGAACTTCTTTTAGGCAATAATGCACCTTCTGGCAATGGGCAAGGATGTGCCTCTGGCCAGAGCCAGAGTCTGGTGTCATCCTGACAAAGCTCAGCTCTGCTTGCTGACTAGCATAGTTTTTTTCCTTATGTGTTATGCCTAAATTACGCCATTCTTGATTACACCACTTTCTGCCTAGTTGTATTTCTTGTAGCACATCCAGTACTACAAGTGCTTGTGCTTCCTTGCTATTCATACCTTCTAACGTCGGGAGACTGCCCTTCCTCTGCCGTTCCTTAGACAACTTCAGAATCTTCAGCTCTTCTAATCTTTTTCCCCAAGTAAATTCCTTCTGCATCTTGCTCGTTTATTTGCTTTCTCTGAACTCAGTCTGTGTAGTCTGCATCTCTCTGGTAATGAGGTGTCTGGAAGTGAATGCAGGATTCACAGGGTGATTATTGTTTTTTTACAATGTGCAGCAGAACATTGCTGGAGGACCCTGATAATGATAAGGACCTCTTTGTGTTGGATGATAAACAAGGAAAGGAATGATGACCTCTTTGTGTCATAACAAAATGCCTGTGTGTTTACTTTGGTCTTTGCTTCCGTAAATCACTGCAACCTTTTGTCTAATTTGTGACACACCTTCACCCCGAGGTCTTATACAGCCTAAATACATGCTGAATTCCTCCCTTCTCCTGAGCAGAGGTTTTCACACGTTTGTTTTCTCATTTCACTTCACTGCGTTCTTCCAAAGTGAATTCTGTATGTTATTTATCCAGTGGTCTTCTCAATAAGGGTGGAATAAAGACCTGTAGTGATGGGGCACAATACTGGAGAATTAGTGTATATAAAGTGTATATTTTTAATATAAAGTGTATATTTTTTCCTAAACTTTTTGTCTAGAAACATGAACTTTTGTCTGGATTATAATGAAAGGTCGCTATTGACATATTACACTCTTACGCCCTAGAAATATAACCTTCCTTTTTTGTTTAGAATTTGTCAGTATTGGTACTTTCTATCTTCATTTAATTTTTATCCTATTTTAAAGGTATGTCAACAGACAAAAATATGCAAAAACACTTTTGTGTGCAGCACAGCTCCATCTCTTACACTGGGTAATTTTTTTTTTCCAAAAGTAAAGACTGTTTATGTGCTTATATCATAAATCCCTTAACATATCTTCCGTGTACTAACTAAATTATACAGAATGTGTTTCTCTTTCTTAAAGAAGCCATAAAGTCTAGTTTCAATTAATCAACTACTGCAGATACTCAAGTTGCATGCTGGGGAAGAGGTAAATATATGTACAGCAGGGAAGGGAGAGAGGATGGGGATCTTGCAGTGAGGATTGTCTTGTACCCATGACCCAGCTTGTGGGTTTGAACAGGGCTGTGACCACTCTGTTTTCATGGTAAGATGGGAAGATGAATCCCGAGCTGCTTCTGTGTTGCATTGCAGGTTGCAGAAGGCTGTGACCACAGATCTGTTCAGTAACCTGTCTGCTGACAGTGACTCAGGAGGGGAGACCTTCCCTGCACCTGGAGCCTACAGCCATATCATAAGATGCTGTTATGAGGGTGGCGTGGATAACTTACTGAGAGGTGTTTTTTTGTAGGATCCTAAGATATTGCAGATTGGAAGGGACCTCAGGAGATCTCCCATCAAACCTGCTAAGACAGGGTCAGCTATGAGGTCAGACCAGGTTACTCAGGGTGTTACCCAGTCAGGTCTTAGTATCTTCAAGGGCGGAGATTACACAACCTCTCTGTGCAACTTGTTCCACTAGTTGACTTGCCTAAGCTGTGCCATTACAGCAGCTCAGAAGGAGAATCTTCTCTCTTTGAAGCAGCCTATACTCTAAAGCCCCAAATGAATAGCTTTCCAGGCTTCAGCCATGACCAACCAACAGGTTTGCAGAACTGTCAGCCTTTGTCTGGGCTTGGGTTTGATGAGTATGAGGAATCATATTGTGCCCTAGATTGTCCCCAAGTCCTCATCTTCAATAATTCCATGTTTTTCCAAGTCCATGGAGCAAACAGCTGAGGCAGAGAGGGCAAAATGTGGTTCTCAGTGTGTGCACAGGTGTGATGGTTGGTGCTGTGATCAGTCATGATGTCCAAGTCCATTCCTCCTGGTGTGCAGGTCCCTGAGAGGCTGGCTTAAAACAGACTTTCTGGTACAATCTTGGACTGTCAGCAAGTGTTACTCAGCTCTTCTAGGAGGTCGCAGCACCTGCTACTTTGGTCCTATCCTATTTTAGAGCTTGTTGATACAGGAGACCTATAAGGGTCCCTTCATTGCTCCAATGATCTCTGCTGGTGATTCAGAAGGGAAACATCATTCCCCTTGGTCAGTACTTAAAATGTTTGTGTGGCATTAGGGGAGCTGCGCTGCAGGGCTGTGCTGTGCCCTCTGTGTGGGTGATTCGGCATGGGGCAGCATTCTCCATGACTCAGCAGCGGCTCCAGGGCCCACTTGAGGACTGGAGGGTTGTCCTCTCTGATCCTACAGCTGTCCCTGTTGGTGTGTTGCTGGAAGGGTTCCCGTTCTTTTTCCTCATTCGTAGTTCCTTGACCACTCTTCATAATGAACGTTCTTCTTGGAGGTGGCCACGTTTCAGGGGTGGGTAAAGCAAGCTCTTCCCTAGCTGCCTAGTTTTCTGCAGGACAAGTTGTCATTAGTGTCCCTGGTACCTCTTCTACCACCTCTGCTTGTGGGGACAGCTGCCTGTTTGGTGCTTCCACTGTGTGTCTGGGGACATGCTTGGAATAATTTCTGACGATTGTCTTTTAATTGCTTGTTCAGCACTCTGCTGTGGAGCACTGTGCCGTGCTCTGATGGCAGGGAGGGCCAGCGGTGCGATGTCAGGGCGAGGCTGCTGTGTTAGTGCGTGGCAAGGGATTGATCCTGGGCCCTGGGGATGTTTGCTTGCTCCTAGGAAGTTTTTGACTTTAATAACATCTCTTGCTGATAAGGAGCAGCAGCATGGAGGGACACAGCAGTGACAGGATGATTTAAACAGCCTTTCTGTGCTGCTTCATCTTCACAGACATCACAAATCAGATTAGCATGGGTCTGAGGAAGGGAAGAGGCAAAGTGAGGGACAGTGTGATGGAGGGAGGGGAGAGGGAATCCATGTTCAGTCTGGTAAGGGGATGGACAGGCTGAGTCTGCTCTCACCCATTTTCCGCCGAGACCTGCTGCTATCCATGGATGGAAACACCTGAGTCTTCCTCCAGTCAGTCTCTCACCCACCCCAGCAGCTCTTTCCGTGCCTTCCCTGTGAATGCCTGTCTGCCCCCATCTGCTGTCTCACTTTTCTCCTCATTGCCAGACACCCCATTCCTACCCACAGGTATTTTATCTTTTTTATGCCAGGCATGTGTCCTTAAATAACCCCTGACCCCACAGACACCTTCGCCGTGCCCTCTGCGTGGATCCTTCCCTGAATGCCCTGGGTCACCTCGTGGTAGATGCCAGCAGCCAACCTGTGCATTTGTCAGTGTAAGGAGCTGCAAGAGCTCTGCATGGGGACATCAGACCCTCCATGCAGTGTTGGTACATGGGAGGCTGCATCTCCTGCCGGGCAGGCATCCTGCTGTGAGTGGCAGTGTGTGACCATCTCCTGTCTTCTCACAGATCTCTCGCAACCTGGGGAAGCTCTACAGCGAAATGATCTTTGTGAACGGCTTTGTGCACTGTGACCCACACCCAGGCAACGTGCTAGTGAAGAAATGTCCAGCCTCTGGCAAGGCCCACATTATCCTCCTGGACCATGGGCTCTACCAGGTATGTAGCTATAGGGACTTCCAGGTCCTTGTGAAGCTCCCTGTGGGCATCAGCCACACGCAGCTGCAGCCTTGCACCCCCTAAGCTCATGTGAATACATTTTTCTTGTTCCTCCCATAACCCTCCAGGGTTATTTTCTGGGGGTGAAATGGAGGATAGGGCACAGCTAGGGAGCGTGAGGCTTTTCCCCTTAGTTCTCTGTCCTCTGTGGACTTCTCGGGGCCCTGTCTCCCTCCCCAGGTGCTGAGTGAGTCATTCCGCATGGACTACTGCCGCCTTTGGCAGGCCCTCATCAAGGCTGATATGAAGAAGGTGCAGAAGTACAGCCGGCGGCTCGGGGCAGGGGATTTGTACCCTCTCTTTGCCTGCATGCTGACCGCCAGATCCTGGGAATCTGTCAACAGGGGCATTGACCGGTCTCCAGTCTCAGCCAGCGAGGTGGGTCCTGTGTCCCCTTCCTCATCGTGTCCCCTTCCTTCTCCTCGCGTTCCTTTCTTTGTTGTAACCACTTCCACTGCTTGATATCACAGCGATGCTGGGCAGCTCCTGGCAGCTCTGTAGTAAATTCCACATTGATAGCTGAGGTAGAAAAAGCCAGGGCTCCTTCTGCAATGTGTTTTATAGTGGCTGAACTTAATTTCACAGTTTCACTTGTCATGGGCTGCTTAAATTTTTTATATAATATTTTAATGGCAAAGTGTTCACCACTTCTGGCAGGGGAAACATTTGTAGATCAGCCTTTTCTTAAAAAACTGTTGAATGCAATTGTGCAGGAAACCATCAAGGAGGATAGGTTAAGGTAGAGGAGACATAAAGGCTTAGTGGGAAGACATGAGAAGGATAATGCATTATCACTATTCATGTAAATGACTATCAGCACTGATACAAACTCCTAAAAACCCTTGGAAATTACCTCCCAATCAGAAACCCTATTAACTTGGAGTCAAGGTTGCTTAACTGCAGATCCTGTCAACTCAATCACTACAAATCTAGGAAATTGCCACTTACATTCTCCACCCTTTCCTATCCGCACATGCTGGGATCCTTCTCAGCACTCCTGACACACACACACTGCCTAAAAAATAGTAGCAGCCCCTGCCAACTGTGTGGTTTTTAGAGATGAGCATATAGTGATGTGATTTCAACCAGTGGACTAGCATCTGTAGGTGGAACCATGTTATATCCTATGGTTTGTTTTTATCTGCATGCATTTGTACTAGAGAGGATGAAATTCATTTAAGTAGTGTTATAATATTGTCCTGTGAAATTCTCTTCTGGAAATTCCTTCGGGTTGGCATTTCATTTTGATGGATGTGGCATAATTTGCTGCATTGGCTTGCCATTATCCGTAGCAATGAGTAGGTCAGCTACCTTGGGTAATGGACTCCCCCACCCAGTAATTTAATTGCTTCCTACCTGAGTTAATTTTCTGCATATCAGAAATAATATAGTGACTGTCTAGCAGATCTGTGCTTGATCTGGTGAGTTCTGGATGTGGTAGCTCCAGAAAAAAATTCAGAGGCACCAGAGAGAATTGACACAAAGCCAGCTTCCAATACTACACGGCCAGCATTGGATCTGAGCTAATAAACAATGTTTATCCTAAACTGGCTCGTGAAGGTTATGGCCGAGGTGTAACTGCAGCTGATGGTGCCTTGTGTGGGCTAATGAACGTTGTCACTGAGTTGAATTGCATGTATGGAGCCAGCTCTGTTGTCTTTGCCTACATGACACAATTAATGCTGAAACTGGATAATCCTGTGGCAGATAATGGGGAGCTGAGCAGATTTGCTGTGGCATTAGGAAATCAGCTGCTGCTTGCCCTTAGTTTAGAGGTGAATTTCAAAGATTGTATCAGCAGCAAGAGCCAAGCGCTGTGTAGGTAGATATCATCAATGCAGAGCTCCACAGAGTGTGCTTGAGGATGTATCAACATGAGAATAGCCTGTGAGACAAGCAAGCAGCCCTCCTGAAACAAAATCTTATCTCTAGTGCTGTGTCCAGTCTGAGGCACTGCATCTCGAGAAAGGTTTGATGAAATTGGGGCAAATCCAGTAGGAAGCTACAAGGACTAGTGGTCAAGCAGATGCAACCCATGAGGTCAGCCTGAGCAAGTTAGGGCAGAAAAAGTCTAGAAAAGTGCGAGTTGAGAAGAGTTGTAGTAGTGATTTTCAAATCTTTTCAATAAAGATTGCTGCAAACAGGATGAGAAGTAATGGATTTAAATTCAGCTAAGGAGGCTGAGGTTAAACACGAGAAAAGCCGGGTCTAATGGCAAGGCAAGTGAAATGCTGGTGTGGATGGTCTGAGGAGGCTTTGAGTCACATCACTGGAGAGTTTTAGGAACAGGCCAGGCAAATGTGTGAGGATTGCCACAGGTGCAGTTGTTCCTGCCTTAAGCCAAGGCCAGGCAGCTGACCGCTCAGGGTGGCTCCTAACCTCATCTCATCTGATTTTATGATGGTGTTTTGCTGCATCTTGCAGCAGCCTCAGCAACTGCAGCCAAGGGGCTTATCTCAGGTCCTGTGGCATAGTTCATTTCTTCCTCTGTGCACAGGCTTCGCCCTTGACAGAAAATGACAGTTCTGATGACAGATCATGTGGTTGTTTTGTGATATGGACAAGCAGCTGGAGCTAAAAATAAGAAGAAAAGAAATAGAAAAGAAAACCTACACGTGGAAAAGAAAGCAGGCTCTGCAGTGGTGCTGGCTAGGATAAGGGATAAGAGATAATCAGGGAGGAATTTTCTGCCAACAAATAGTGGAACAAAATGTTTAACATTTAGGAGAGCTAAGCGCCTTCTTGCTGAAGCTTTGTGTAGTAGGTCAGCGATGGAGGCAGGAGGACACAAAGATTTGTCAGCAGCAAAGCAACCATAGTGGTATGTGAGCTGTGTCCATCTCTGACCATCATGGCCTGCGCACTTGGTCTATTCCTATAAAGGTCTATTCCTTTATAATGTCTGAAGTTCAGAGGGAGTGAGTATGAGATCCCGTATCATGAAATATAGGCCAGCCATCAGCCCTCATTCCAGAGGAGAGAAGGTTTTAGAACTGTTCTTTCCCACAAAGGAGCCTCTCTCCTATAAGAAGTAATTTAGTGCCCTCTGCATGTGTCCTGCTGGATTCTGGAGATTTCAGATGTTCCAGGGACTTCTGTTGGGATTTGCTGATTCATGTCACGGCCTCTGTAGGAAGAGGTAGGTACACAGTATGCGTATGGGATCAACTCCACACCACACTGTGGTACATTTACTGGGATGGTGTGGGAACTATCAGGTCTAAAAAGAAGCAGAAGAGTGGGGGCTTTCTGTCTTGCATGCTTTGGTGGCTCATGTTTGGAGGAAGCCCATCTTGAGTGGTTCAGGTTGTAACCCATCAGTTCTCACTGGGATCTTTCTGTGGGCAGTGTATTTGTTGGAAGCTGGGGAACCAAGGAACATGAAGGATCACCCTGTGTCTGCCTTGGTCTTAAAAAAAAATGCTACTGGCTGCTGCCAGACAAGATATGGTTGTAGATGCCAGGCTTTGATCTTTTGGGTTAGCATGACAGTTAACTGCATAATGCTTTCTCACCTGTGCTGAGTTATGTTGAGAACATAGGACTAAAGTAGGCCTTGGAAACAGCTTCATCAGTGTAGCATAAACTTATCAGTAGCATGGGACAGCAAGACAAGGAGCAGCCTGGTTGTCCTTGCAGCATGCCTACACCTTCCTGAGCAGTCCTGTGCTGCCTGCAGCTCTGCCAGCTCTGGGGCTGGTGAGGTGAGACTCAGTCAGAAGGCTGTGAGGGCAGTAATGAGACATGGTTGCTGTGGGCTGCCTGAGGCCAAGAACTGAGACAGCAGTGAGTGCGCTGTTCTCCTGAGAGGTTGTTAATCTTGCCAGTGAGGGGACAGGGCCTTATCTCACTGAGCGGCAGTGGGTTATGGCAAACGTGATCTGTGACTGTGCTGTGAGTGCTTGGGACAGCCAGGTAGCTGCAGGAAAGCAGGACAAAGAGCTCTTTAGCTTCTGGCCTAGAGTCATGGTCTCGTGCACTCTTAGCTTCTCTCTCCTTTCTCTCTGACATGACCTGGCTGGCTGCAGGATGTGGAGATCCGGTCCAATGCTGCTGCTTACCTACCCCAGATCACCCAGCTCCTCAACAATGTCCCCCGCCAGATGCTGCTGCTGCTGAAGACCAATGACTTGTTAAGGGGGATTGAGTCAGCCCTGCACACGCGGGCCAGTGCCAGCTCCTTCCTCAACATGTCTCGCTGCTGCATCAGAGCCGTTTCCACGTGAGTCTCTTCTCCAGGCACCAGAGGCCAGACATGGAGCAACAGGGGCTGGCTGTCCCTGGGGGCTAGGAGCCAGGGGGGATCCCAGGGCCAGCAGGCCAGTCAGGGCCCAGTCCCACAGTAGCTGAGCAAGGTGAGCAGGACAAACCCTGAGGTGGTGGTGAAGTCCAATCAAAAGTCCATGTCGTAATGCAACATCATGGTGACAGGGCAGGTCCAAGATCAAACCAGAAAGTCAATCTGTAGATCAGGTCCAGTGGTTGTCAGGTAGGTCCATGGTGACAAGACAGGGCTGAAGTCAGGTCAGGATGTGTGGAGAATTGCTTTTCCTGGAATCAGTGTGTCAGGATTACTGGACTCTTACAAATGTGCTACCAGGAAAGGCTTTAGGGCTGTGCATCTGTCTCTGTTAGCTGAAGTGAAGCTGGGCATAGAAGCAGGGGATGCCATGGCCCAGGGTCACTGTGTGCAGTGAGGAGAGAACCAGGTGCACAAGGGAGCAGGCTGTCTCTTCTGCCAGATTCATGTTAGGAAGGCAGTCCCCAGCTCCTCAGGAACATTACTTGGAGATAATCCCTACTCCCAGGGGTCCCCACTGCTGGTGGTTCTCCACATGTGGGATGTTTCCCTGCCCTGGGGAGAGCCAGTTGTACTGAAGATGTAGGACAAGCCTCCTTCCCGCAGAATGCAGCATCTAATGCAGCTGTTTCTCTCATTCTAGGTACCAGAGGAGCAAGAGTCACTCGCTTTACAGGAGGGTCCAGATCTCACTCACGGAAGCCCTGAGCCTGTGGCAGATCAACTTGTGTGAATTCTTCCTGTGGCTGAAGGGGTCCCATCTGGGGAACTGGGTCATTGCTCTGCTGAGCCGGATGCACCATTCCACATACTGACATGAACTGGTGGGAGAGGCCTGGGTGCTCCCTCCCTCCCTTCTGTTCTCCGTGGCACATTTGCCTTTCTGACTGCTTCCATCTTCTGTGGGCTATTTTTGGGTCTTGTTCCATGTTACATGCTGCACTGTCCTTATCTGTTCCAGCAATAGCTTTCTCTGTTGCACCAAGAGGTGGAGTTTGTACTGGAGCTCTGCTGTTCCATGGTTTAGGAAAACGAGGTGCAGGATACTGGGCGTCAGGAAAGGCAGAGGAAATTCCACTCAGATTCTAGTGGGACTGCACTGGAAGCAAAAGCCTTTCCTTGGCTCTTTCTTAAACAATCTTACAGAACTTAAGAGAATCCCAACCCTACCTAGAATGCCCCAAAACATTTCTCAGACCCTCAGAATGAGGTGGTAAGTCCCTTTAAAATTCACTAAGGTTTATATTAGTTTTTGCAACCTCTGTAGTCTGATTTCTGTTCAGGTGTGCAGAGAGTTTCTCAAAGGAGTGAGACCTTGTGGAGAGCTGGCACTAGGGCTTCCTCTCCTAGCACCAGGTAAAGGAATCTGGCTCTTGGAGGTTCATCTCGAGTCCTGTTAGCAAGTGCCTCTGTGTTTTTGGACTTCTCCTGGCCTGTTTCCTTGCAGGTGAAATGGGGGAAGGGGTCAGTGGTCCTGCCTCTTTTTGGAAATTCAGAGAAGGCAGGAGGAATGACAACTCAGGGCTCTGAAACTGCTGATAATGTATGTGTACTGTACAGTACTGCCACACAGCAAAATAAATGTGTTGTATCAAAGACCTGTGGGGCAGGGATGCCTGGCTGTGCACTCAATGTGATGTTTGGGCCTCCAACCTCAGTGCTGTTTCCATTTCTCCACTGAGTGAGTGATGCCATGCAGCACTGTTAACTCCTTGCAAGCCAAGTGAAGTGGCTTCTTGGTCTTTCCTCTTCCCAAGAGGTTTGTTCTACATCTGGGTCTGCTGGTGCTGTGTCAGATGTGTGTTGGGATGGAGAAGCATGTGTCATTATGCTGGGAAGACACACCACTCCTTGCTGCTCAGATCCACGCTGAGCCTGCCTCCTCCTTGCCTGTGGGAGTGTGCTGCAGCACATCTCTGAGACGTCACCATCCCCGTGCTATACACTGAGCATTTCACCTCATCACTGCCTGTGGTGTTTCACTGCTCCTGCCTCAGACGAAAACCCACCACTTGCTGGGTGGTGCAAGTGACAGGTCTGATGTCTCTGACTCTGCAGCTGTGGGACAGCGACCAGCAAGTCTCACCCAGAGGCTTCCCTTCTGTGAGATGTATTTGGGATCCTGGGAGATGTCCCTGCTGCTTGTGAGAATTCCTGTAGCCAGGAAGGGTGGATGGAGGTGACCACTCAGATCATTTCAGCTTTCATAAACTCTCTTGGTGAAAGGGGACATGAAGGACAGGATGGGAACATCCCTCTACTGCCAGCTATCTTGCTAAGCTGAGTGTTGTTACTCAGGCACCGGACTGTGCCTGAGAGCAAGCCACAAGAAGACCATGCACTCTCCCAGTTTGCGTGCAGTTTCCCAGCTTGCATGGGTATGAGACCCCACCTTGCAGTGAGTCTGTTTGCATGGGAAGGGAAGCTGGGGGCAGAGGATGGGTGAGTGCATCAGTCCCTGAGGAACCAATTCTCTTGCTGGCTGCGTGGGAGAGGGAAGGAATGTGATACAGAGAAGGTACCTGGCTGCAGGTGTGCTTGGGCACGATGAGTTAGTGACTGTGGACGTGTGGCTTATGAGAGCAACTGCACATGTGCAGAGTGTAGGCACGGCTGGGTGGCTCAGGACTGTCAAGAAGTGGTGTGTGGTTGGCATAGTTGTGGATGAGGAATTGCTGAATGTGGGTTGTTGGTCTCCTGTGCAATTGCCTGACCTGATGTTAGCTCTCTGAGCCCTTCCTACTGTGGGGGCAGCAGCAGGAGTGATGTGCTCTCCTGTCTTTGCTAAGAGCAAAAAAAGAAGCCACGGTGAGACTGAATGTCCTCACAAAGCTCATCCCCAACGTGTGCAATGACAGGTCAGAGATTCCCCTGACTTCTGGGTTGTTTGATGGTGTCAGGGAATGGAGTGGTGGTAGTTGCAGTGATGAGTCTCCTGAGTTGACAAGGAGTCATAGGGGCCCTGGAGTATTGGTCCTGCAGCCTGTACCTGGGTAATCTTTGCTCTTGGGAGCAGTTTGGCTGAATGAGTGCCTCGCTTAGGCACTTAAAGCTTGTAGGCTGGCCAGCGTGGGTGGGCCTGTCTTGTTCTCCTCACAAGTAGAGCTCCTTGCAGAAAATTGGCCTGGTGCACCCAGTAAAGTCCAGGAGGCCCTCTAGGAGTGGTCACTGACTTCACATCCTCATCTTCTAGCTGCCCCTGCAAATGCCTTTGCCTGTCCATGTCTGGGTATACTGACCAGAGTGCTGTCTGGGTCTCACTAACATCTGTGCATGAAAGCTCATCTTACAGTGAGACCCTGGTCATATCCCTCATTTCCAGAAGATCCCGTGTTGTGGAGAGGCTCCCCACTGCTGGATTTTGCATTGACTATTGAGCCCCCAGCCCACTCTCAGCCACACTTGTTCTTTTCACCCCTCCAAAATCCCACCATACACCTGCTAGTCCTGCTGCCTGAGGAAGGTTCTGTCTCTAAAAGTGGCAGGGAACCAGCAGCCCCTCAGACTGCCATTTTTGGCAGCATGCAGCCGGCAGAGAGTGGGGTGTATTTGGAAGAGATTTGTCTATTGTCATTAGTCTCTGCCGGAAGGCTGCGTGCCTCCATGCTAGCAGTGGGACTCCTCTGTCAGTTGTGCTCAGCTCTCACCCTTCCCACAGTCAATCAATGAGGGTTTGCCTGAGGAAAGAACAAGCAAACATCCAGAGTTTGACCCTTTAACATTCCTGCCTTGTCTTTTTGCTGAAAGATCTCAAAGGTGAACGTGTTAAAAGGGTTTTGAACAGACCCTTTCTCATCCCAATTTGTGGTTGTCAAACATGGGTAACCTGGATCAGTTCTGTGCACTTGGCCTCTTCTTCCAACCTGCATTTATTGGTGTTTTCACCACCAGGAAACAGCCTTTGCAGCTCTGCTTGCAGGCAGCACACGGGCTGCTGTCTGCCCGGCTTCAGCTGCGAGTGAACTGAAGTTTGGTGCAGGAACAAAACGTTGGCCTTGCTGCAGACTCCTGAGCCCACTGGCTCTTTCTCAGGACTGACAAGTGAGGGGTAAGAGCTGGGGCCAGAGGTGCAAAACTGATGGGCAACTTTCAGCTCCTGTAATATGAAATACTACGTTGTAGCCTCATAGCATCTCCCATCCTAAATGCTCTCGGAAGTGTTGGGGAGCCAGCAGTCATTTCATCTAGTATTTAAATGTACCATCATTAGGGTGGCTGGTGGTGGAAAATGGGGCAGTCAGGGTAAACGATGCTGCCATGCAAAACTGCAAGAATTTAGGGTATGAAGTGAGCATGCTTTTTCATATCCAACTGAAGAAACAGCCAGAGAGAGCACTAGTCCAGACTAACCACCATAGCCTTTACCTAGCACACCCAGTGAACTTTAATGATGACAAGTGGGTGGCTTATAGCTTTGCAGATCAAGGCTGCATGGTGCCCTCTGCCATCTCGCAGGGGCGTATGAACCTCGCGCAGTTGCAGTGTAGAAGCTTTCCAAATGAATCACTCCCTGCTTCCCGTAGCAAATGAACCATGACTGGCACGCAGCCTGGCCAGCACCAAAGTCATTCCCCCCATGAATGACTCCCCCTGGGGCTGCCTTCCAATGCGTCGCTTGGCAGGGCTCTTCCTCCTCCAGCACTGCGTATCTCCATGTCCCTCCAGCACCATTCTCCCCCCGGGTACCCAGAGTCCTAAGGGGTGTGGGCAGAATGGGGGGTCCTGGAGCATGCCAGGAGCCATCACCCATGGTGGGCTGTTACAGGACACCCAGCATTCAGGTGGGAGCAGAGAGGGCAGCCAGTGCCTTCCGCCTTCATCCCCTGACAACTGAATGGCTGGAAAGGAGGGACAGACATCTCTTCCTCCTTGGCTCCTCTAGAAGCAAGAGGCTGGGGCTGGCTCCTGCCCCTGCAGCCTGAGCTCTGGCCATCCCCATCTCACCCAGGGAATGTGCTTGTCCTTGGGTGATGGCCAGAAGTCTGTATTGCAGTTTTCAAATGGCACAGGGCGAACAAACAGCACTGAGATAAGGGAGGTGCAGGCTGGGGCTGTCCCTGTACTGGGATGGGGGAATTTGCTGGCGCTGCTGAGCTGGGAGGTGGGAGGAATATTTCAGAGGCTCCCAGCCCTCGGGGTAAATCCTGCTGCCATCTCTCCATGCTTCCCAGGGAATGGAAGGGAAGGAAAGGGAAGGAAAAAGGAAAGGAAAAGGGGAAGGGGGAGGAGAAGGGAAGGGTGCAGTGAGGAGAGAACCGGGTGCAGGTGCCCTCCTGAGAAGAGGCAGTGTGCAACTTCCTAGGGTCCTGCTTTGGCTACCTCAAGCTTTAAACAGGCTTTAAACCAGGAGTAAATTCTACTTATATCCAGCCAAAGGCTTCCTGAGCAGGCTGGAGGGATGCTAAGTGACCTCTGTGTGATGGCCAGAGGTCACTCAGGCCCCATAGAGACAGCACTAGTGTTTCCCCAGTTGAGGATGTTCAGCACACAGGGTAGCGGGGGCTGCGCCCGGCCGAGAGATCTTCCCCGTACCAGGTCGGAGAGCTGTTCCCACTCCTCTGCAGGGCAGTGATCTGCATCTGTCCCCCGCAGGGGTCGTTTCCTGAGGGAGCCCTGGGCAGGACGTGACTGTTGACTTACCCTGTGCAGCTCAAGGTCACCTTGTCAAAGGGTGATGGCCTTTCTTGGTTGGCCTGTGTGACCCAGAGAGCACCGCTGTGCTTGCCATCCTCTGTGGCACTCCAGATCAGCCACTGTGTCAGATCACTGGCTGCTCTTTGCACAGCTTCCCTCTTCAGCTTCTTGCTGTAACCCAGGAACTTTGATTTCTGGTGGTTTAGTAAAAACCGTTGACCAGGCTGCACGAGCAGTGGGGAGTAGGGAGGAGCTTTTAATTTTACTATTATTTTATTTTATTTTGTTTCGTTTTATTTTATTATTTGATTTTATTTTACTTTATTTTCTTTTACTTTTAATTTGATTCAGATTCTTTTTTGTTGAAGTTACTTTTCCCTCCTCTGATACATATGAGCATAGTTAACACTCGTAAAGCCTCTTTCTGTAACTGGAG